TCCGGCGATCCTTCCGCCTCGGCCTTCCGAGTAGCTGGAACTACAGGCGCGCGCTACCACACCCGGCTAATTTTTTATTTGATGTAGAGATGAGGTCTCACCAAGTTGCCCTGGCAGGTCGCGGACCCGCGGGCTCAGGCAATCCACTCACCTCAGCCTCCCAAAGTGCTGGGATTACAGGCCGAGCCACCTAGCCCGGCAAAATAAATATTTTTTTAAACGTTAATCACTCCTTCTGAAAACACGCTGGTTTCCAGGGCACCAGGCTTTCCTTTCTTCCTCCCTCCCGGTCTGCTTGCTGTTGCTTCTTTGCTGACCTCCTTTTTACTCCTCAGATTCCAAATGTTAGCATCCTCCAGGACTCAGTTTTAGAGTTTCTTCAAAAACTTTTCACATTTGCTTATGGATGTTATTCAAGTCCATGGCTTTAAATAATACCTTGTGCAGGTCATTCCCAAAGTTCTGATTCCCCTTCAATACCAGACGCTATGTCCAGTAGCCTAGAATAGCATCTACCAGTCTGCTTAAAAGTCTAACCACCTTCTCTGGCCAGGCGCAGTGGCCCATGCCTGCAATCACAGCGCTTTGGGAGGCTGGAGGATCTTTTAAGGCCAGAAGTTTGAGGCTGCAGTGAGCTATGATCGCATCACTGCACTCCAGCCTGGGCAACAAAGAGACCCTGTCTCTAAAAATAGAAATAAAATAGTTAAGTCTAATGACCATGTTCTAGTTCATACAACTCCACGTTCGCGTGTGCAAAACAGTTCTCTAGACTTTCCCAACAAAGTATGTTCTCCAGCTCCTTCTCCGTATCAGCAACTACCTCCACCATCCACCCAGGGGCAGCTTCCTTGATTTCCTTTCGTTGTATCCCCACACCCAACCCATCCACACCGCCACAACGCTGTGTCTTAGCCACAATCCTCTCTCGCCTGGAAGACTCAAACGTCTCTCCCTTGCTAGAACCGCAGCGGCCTCCTGCCTCACTTGGGAGACAGACGGGGGGGGGGGGGGAATCATCGCTTCACACCAGGAGTTCAAGACCAGCCCGAGCAACATGTCAAGACCGTTCTCTCTTTTAAAAATAAATAAATACATATAAATGTTAAGTAGTCGGGGGTGATGGCACAGCCTGTAGTCCCGGCTACTCAGGAGGATCGCTTGGGCCCTGGAGGTCGAGGCTGCAGCCAGCTATGATCATCCACGGCACTCCAGCCTGGGCGACAGAACAAGACCCTGTCTCTAAAATAATTTAAAAAAAAAAAACAAAACGGGCTGGGTTCGGTGGCTCGGCCTGTAATCCTGCACTTTGGAAGGCCGAGGTGAGTGGATTGCCTGAGCCCGTGGAGAACTCATCCTCTACAATAAATCAAAAAATCAGCCGGGCGTGGTAGCGCACGCTTGTAGTTCCAGCTACTTGGAAGGGTCCAGTCGGGGCCACGGAGTGAGACTCCAACTCAAAAAAAAAAAGAATGGATGGATGGATGGATAAATAAATAAGTAAATAAATAAGAATCCTCCCCCCCCAAGGCTTCCAGGCCCTCGCTGCTCCGCCTCGGTCTCCTCGGCGGGCTGTCCCCGGGTGGCCCCGCCGGAGTCCCCGCGCTGCCTGCGTCTCGCTCTCGGCCGTGTCCCCGGAGCCCGGCGGCTCCCCCCGCACCCCCGAGCTGCCTCCACGGCCGGGAGGGCCCCCCGCCCAAGACCTCCCGGGGGCGCGTCCCCCTCCGGCTGGCTCTGCGGTACCCGGACGAGGCGCAGGTGGTCGTCCGCCCACTGCGAGATCCGCGCCACGACGTTGGGCGCCGC